CATTTTTTAGAGTAGCTTCGGCGGCTCTTGGACATACCGTTTCTCTTTTCAAACAGTCCTCGAATACTCCAAGTCTGATACCGAAGTCTTCATATTGCCCCCGGGCCACCACAGCCCCTTTGTAGGGGGAGATGGGCTTGTTACAATGAAACATTGCATTAAAATGCGAAAAGTCACAGAAGAGCTTCAAACTTAGCATCAAATCCGAGTGGAACTTCTTGCCAATGTTAACGCAAACGCAGCCTGCGACTTTAAAGTGAGTTGTCAAAACTCTTAGCCCCCTGCCCCCCCCTCATTTTTGGTTGCAGAGCGGGTAAAAACCGGGAAATTCGCCAGAAATGATGCCCCTAGTTCTTACCAGCTCTGCAACGAAAAAAGAGGGGGGCTGCGGGGGTCTTATGGATGTTTCCGTCCTTAAAGTGGGCGGCAGTTCCTGTGTTGCAGTTCTCCGACTGAGCGCAATGTTTCAAGGGTTCTCGTCAAGTTCTACAGTGGTTTCGGGCATCATTTCTGGCGATTTTCTCTGTTTTTACCCGCTCCGCAACGAAAAATGAGGGGGGCAGCGGGGGTGTTTTGGATGTTTCCGTACTTTAAGGGGGTGGCAGTCCTTGTATTTTAATGATCCGACTGATCGCAACGTTTCAAGGGTCCTCCTCAAGTAGGACATTAGTTTCGGGCATTATTTGTAGTGAATGTCCCGGTTTTTACCCGCTCTGCAACCAAAAATGAGGGAGGGCAGGGGGCTAAGAGTTTTGAAAACTCACTTTAAAGTCGCAGGCTGCGTTTGCGTTAACATTGGCAAGAAGTTCTACTCGGATTTGATGCTAAGTTTGAAGCTCTTCTGTGACTTTTCGCATTTTAATGCAATGTTTCATTGTAACAAGCCCATCCCCCCCTACGAAGGGGCTGTGGTGGCCCGGGGGCAATATGAAGACTTCGGTATCAGACTTGGAGTATTCGAGGACTGTTTGAAAAGAGAAACGGTATGTCCAAGAGCCGCCGAAGCTACTCTAAAAAATGAAGGTACGGACCCCCTAAATAACCTTTGGACCCCCCCAACTTTTGACAGGGGGGTCAGATCGACTTCCGGTTTGCGCCAAAAATTTTCTTTTTTCATGCTCTTTCTAACGATGTATCACATGATGGGGGTTGCCATTTGAAATTTTTGAGTTGTCCCCCGCCCCCCCTCACCCGGGGGGGGGGGGTGAAGAACTGAAAAGTACCTAAAAAAGTTTCCCCCTCGATATGAGGAAGGACGCCACAAACCGCAAATCGATATCATAATTAGAACTAAAGTTATGGTCAGTGGTGCGTAACTTTTGAATAACCCTGTATGTATAGTCCGTTATTAGTGCAGGGTCCTCAAGCGTGAACTAGCAACTTTTTGCCCACTGTTGCAAAAACCGTTTCTTACAAGAGGCTGGACCTAATGTTATTGACGAATTTTCTAAAGAAAGACCACTCATAGATGAGGTTTCTCCCAGCCAGTTACACTCTATGATCTAAAGTGATACATGGATATGTGAACGAAATTCCAAAGCTTCCTCCAAGCTGTTCGAAGAATCCTTGCAGAATTCAATTTTGGTAAGACCAGACTGGCCAAAAAACATTTCTCAGCGAATCAAGATTAGGTACTTGTATTCTGCCTCTCTATATGTAGTGCCTTTTTTTTTTTTTTGCAGAACTACACCAACCAACTTATGTAAATATGCATGAATTGGCGAGTTTAGCTGCAAATAAAGGTCAAGAAATGAGTTTTCCACCACCTCCACCAGAGCTCACGAATAATCGAAATTACCCAAAGGTTTGTAGTATCATTTTTCTACTTTTACACAATGCCCCAGAGTGGCCACAATCCAAGAAAATCTGGGAGGGGCTAACCGGGGAAAAAGTATACCTAATAAACTAAAAGTCAGAGAAAACTCATGTCTATGAAAGCGGTGAATTGTAGTGTTTTGCATACAACAGCTTCAGCTTATCACTTAGCCTTCAAAGATTCTCCGATCATTCATTATCATTCCATATTGTCTCATAAGTATGAAAATATTTCCAATTTATCAAGGAAAAGAGGGAGCAGTTAGGAAATTCCAAATCTAAATTTTGTGGTCACCTTGAAATATGAATTGGTGCGGTATAGTATTAAGAAGGTTTTTTTTGTAGGAACTGTCAATGCCCTCTTCTTTATTTCCGGCTCTTTTTTTCTATTTTTGGGTATCTTAGGTTTTTTTCGGGCTGATTACAACATTGGAACATTTAGCGACAATTTCTTTGGGGTATCTGCTGATGATGTCATCAGAGCCTCCATTGTTAACATCACCGAAAGATCTTGTCGATTATGTAATGGGAACACCCATCGACGAGGTCATTGAACCATAAAACCATTAATTTTGAAGGCTTATTTACTAGAGAACCAAGAAAACTTGTTTAAAATCTGACTTTTTTTTTCGTCACCTATGACCGACCTCCACCATTGGATCGATCCACCATGCTCTTTGCGCAGCAAAATAATCGCATTTAACAGTTTTTTATCAACCTTAAAATAGGTCTATGGAAGTTGAGGAGGTCAATACATCTTTCAACTTTAGAATACAATATACATAAGGTGTTTCTAGCCTTGAAAATACACCAGTTTAATTATTTTCGAAATTTTAATCGTTTTGGGAAAAAGTGAAGACTTAACTTATGATGCTGAAACTTCAGAATTATCTTTTGGGGATGAAAAGGAATGGGAAATAGCCCGGAGAGCACAGTTTGGAGATATGCGCCTCAAAGCGGAACACCCTTACCATTCAGCAGTCGCATATTCCAGCGTTCTTACCAAAAGTAGGTCTTAATTTAGTTTGATTTTAATATGTTTAGACTGACGGAAAAAACGGGAGTACAAGCGAAAGCTTGCTAGAATCGTCGAGTGGCTACGGAAGTCAGACTGTTATTTATCAACATTCTCAAGATGAGAGTCATTGTGAGAGTAAGTATTCTTGTCTTCTTGAGTTTGATTTCAATATGCCTCTTTCTTTTTCTTTGTTTTCCTGTTTGTTTGGTTTTCAACGTTTGAAAAAGACTGAAGGTTGTCACACTGAAAAAAGAGTTTCCTACGTATCAGGCGGAGCCTCCTTGGATCAAGTAAGCCGTTTACTTAAGAAGTATCGACAAGAAACGGAAGTTTGTTCCAAAATAACTGAGTTCGATTGGATCTAGCAAATGTGTTACCTCAAACCAGCACTCTACATGTATTTGGAATGAGAAAACGTTTCTCAAAAGTAGAAACATTCTGAGACGTGAAAATATTTCCTGAAATCAAGTAATCACCTTCGGTTTGAAAGGAGTATCTGTGATCTTGATCTATGTCAACCATTTACTTAAAATTAGGAAACGGTTGTGTGTCGCTGGTGCACGGTTAACTGGTTACGAGCTGACAGTTGGTTTAAAATTAGTTAACGGCCGAGCTTCCAGCCAGAAAAGGTCTCGCATAACTCCCAGGCACGTTTACTTATTTCAAGCCAATTGTTGTTTTAAATTTAGTGAACAGTCACATCGAGGTATGCAGACTATATCCATACCATATGTATTATATTTAACCATTAATTGCAAAAAATGGATAAATTTATCGAATTTTTAATGAAAAAAATTATTCAGTTGCGTTTCTGCAAGAGTCGAAGACCCCACATGGCAAGTATCAACTTGCAACTTGTTGCCTACCTATCGGGATTTGAACCTGGGACCTGCAGTTTACGATCCTAACACCCTGCCTACCTACTGAGCAATTGAGGCTCATGTCTTCATAGGGCGAATTTACACTGTATAACTCATTGACTCACCCTCTCACCATTTGTGATAGTGAATATGCGTGAGGTCTGATGGGTTAAGATTTTTTGAACCCAAAAAGATGAATTTGGAGCAAAAAAGAATTATGCGTGTTACGGTCGTCACTTGTTTAATGTTTATTTTTTTTATTTTCCATCCTATATTAATTTTTACTGTTTTGAAAAAATTGACACGATTCAACTTTTTTAAAATTCTCTCTTGTCATTTTTTCTCAAAGAATCACTGAAGAATCGCTTACTTTAAAAAGACAAGAATTAAGAAAAAAACTGAAACTTTTCGTCAATGTTTGTAACATGATAACTATTTATATCTTATGATTGAGATTGCTACATTTTTTTATATGTTAATTGTACTATTCAATTAGACTATAATATTCAAGATACTATTCTAGACCATTTATTAGACTATTCTATTTCAACTAGAATATTAATGGTTCTATTCAATACGTCTAGTTAATTCATATGGGGCGAAAAAGGAAGAGTGTGAGTACTATAAAAGAAACATTATTTGTTCTAATTCCTTACTTTAAAAAATAAGATGTCTCGGTAACGTTTTGTATACAGTTTGCTCGATTTAATGCGCGGCTCCGCTGTGAATTCAGGGAACTTTTTTTCGGTGTGGGCTCTTAGTATTCTTATTAACTGACGAAGCTAATTAAAATAAAAATTGAGAAAATCATAAAATTTGAACAGTATATACGAGTATATACTGAGGTGTTCAAATTAAATAGTTTGCTTTCTTCAACATGTAATCTTCCCTTCTGCTATCCATATTCCACCACCCACCCCTCTCCCCGTTTTATCGTTTCCTGGCATTAAAGCTACCTATGAAGTATATTTTGGTGTACATACTTGTGTATCACATGACTATACCTATTACTGACACTTATTACTAAAAATAGAAATTTAACGATAAACACTATAATTTCACTTTAACTCAGCTATAGTTTACTACAACAATTTTATAAACTATGCCCATACAGATTTACCCATAAAAATATGAATCGGCTGGCTGAACCCCATAAATTCCATCTTTGTAATACATATTCAGCGCATACAACGAGCGTACATCATTTCTTGGAATTCAAGATTTTCAAATGATAACGGCTCTTCCTTTTTTTACACTCTATAAACATGTTATGTTAAAGCAGTTTAAAGAGGTATAATCACAAAAAATCAGTTTTTGTAAGCACATGGCCGGCCAAGGAAAAAGGGAGTACAGGTCCTAGAGGCAGCAACGCAGGTGGATTGATTTTTGGGTATCTTGTTGGATCCAAACACAAACTTGAGAATTTTTATTTCAAAGATATCGACGAAGAGCTCTCTGTCGTGTCCTAATAAATGTGTTTTGAGAGGGTCAATTCCTTTTTTTGCAAACTCAGGGCAGAACGTTGCACAATGATCAGGGTAGCCTGTGCCCTAAACGAAGCAGATTTTAATTTTTTTGTTTTAATACTGCTCTTTTTGCTGCGACATCCATAACAATTTGAGATTTTCTGGATTAAGGCGTCATTTTCTGTGGACACTCACAATTTATTCATAAAAAAGTCCAGTACTCAACTACCATTACATTTTACTCAGTAAACAGGATCACGCGTGTGACGTTTCAATATACTATTGTATAGCTGCACTTCCTTTTCTTTACACTCTCTTAAGTTGATAGAAAGGTGGTAAAGAAGTGCTGGATCCACCCTATTTTGCAAGGAAACAAGGTAAAAAGGTTCAAATACTTCAATTACAGTAAAAAATGTTGAGCTCTTATGAGTAGGTATCAGTACAAGACTGGGGGGGGGGGGGGAGATCGGTCCCATCAGGCCCTTCGACCCTGAATTGCCCCGGACACAAATGAGTCAAATTTTGAAATATCAACGATTTTGCACTTGCAGACTCCTTTCAAAAACACAGAATAATTTTTTTTTTTTCAATCCACACCATCAGCACATCCATAAATCAAAGGGACCCCGAAAACCAATATTGAATGGTGAATACACTATGAACAGCGGAGTTATTTGATTCTCTTCATCTGTCAATTTCGAGGCACGCAAGCTTCTTGATCTGTTGTACCTTGGTCTTTTTTACTTTGCTCAGTTGTAGCTTGACTGTGTGAAAAATCATGTAAAATGAAATCTTTATCCTCTCTTACCATTCTTTCGATCCTTTTTAATGAGTCTACGTACTTATTAAACTGAGAAGTGCCGTGATTTGAGGCGAGAGTTGCAATTTGCAAGGCAAGGGCTAGGATCAAATTGTATTTATGTCGGACATCTAAGGATTCTGTATTGACATTTTCCTCGGCATAATCCTTGTCGAAACCCTATAGAACGTTTCTGCCTCTCGAAATTCAACTTTTGAATAGATTGAATTTTTTCTCAAGTACCGATCATGAATTAAAGATGGATAAAGTAATGGTAAATTTTCATTCTCATGCTGGAGAAGGATATGGTGGCAAGGAGTTTGATAATCACATTGAGAAACTGTCGTCGCATAGACTTTGACATGATTCTATTCATAAGTCTCTTTGATGCCCTCACTGTGAACCTTCAGATTGCTTCTCCGCATTTGTAAAGCTTTTAGGCTACTGTGAAACAAGACGCAGCCTCGCTCATTCAAACAAAGGGACGCTTCCTCGTTCAATGCCCTGATCTGCGGGTCAGCATCGTTGATTTTTAGAGACTTCAAAGTGCCTTGGGTTGTGGCACTGTTGACGTGATTCTCACAAAAGGTGGTCAAATGGATAACACTGATCTCATTTGGGGGCAGAGAAGGAAATCTATTTTTGATACTGGATTTCAGTGTCCAAAAGGATCTCTCCACCCTGTTGTTAGTGTCGTCACTAAGTGTTGGGAGGCGGCATCTATAATGTTGTATCCACATGGGCCTCCACTCCTCACTATCCCAGTTACTTAAAAATTGTTCTGTCAGCGAAACATATTTCTGATTAACACGAACTTGAACATCCTTGACAGACTTCACCAAGACACACACAGGATAATCACGCCAAAGGTGAATGACACCAAGCAGCATGGTATGATAACAGCCCCGGAGACTTCGCGATTACGCGGTTGCCTAATTGTTCTTATTCCGTGTGTACCGCCAAATAACATTTTCTGCGGCAGTAAAATAAATTTCGGGAAAAGTTCAATAATACAAAATTTAAAAGGTCAAATTTAATCACTTTAAATATTTCGTTTTCTAGAACTTCTTCCGAAATTTGGGGACTTGAAAACATAATGTTGAACTAATTTTGAACTTACCGAGATAATTTTCAGCCAAAGTTAGGGGAAATGGGCTCATTTTGCGGGAAAATCGTTTGACCTTTGAACTAACGTATTTTGGGGGTCCGAATCCCCCTAGAATTTGTTCGAAGTGATTTCTGCCATTTTTTTTTAAAAGCGCTTACAATTTGGTAAATTTTCCCGTTTCATTGTTCTTCTCTACAATAATTGGAACTGGAGTTATGATTTTTTGAAAATAGGTCAAATTGGACTTTTGACCTATCTTAACTTGGTCAAAAATTAAGATTTTGATCTGCGGTTTGCGCCAAAATTTTTATAATTAGTTTTTAATGTGCTTTCCAATGACGTAAGTATCACAAGATAGGGGTTACCACTCGAAGAAAAAAAGTTGCCTTCTCCCCCCCCCCCCCCTGTGGGAGGAGCAAAAATTGTGACCCCCCTAGAACATGGTCCTCCTTCAGCTAGAAACATTCCCAATGTTACGTTTTTCTATCTCTAACTGTTTAAAAGTTAAAGTGGGGAAGGGGGGGGGAAGCCAGAATTTTGGAAGGCCCTGTACATCAATTCACACTTCCCGCTCACAGTAAGACGAGAGTAGTCGAAGATAATCAAGCAGTAAAGTAATTTTGACATATTTACCATGGAAGAATTTTCGTGTGAACTAATTTTTTTTTGATGAGACGAAAGGCTTCTTGTATCAGAAAAAGAAGGAAATGTGTGTAAAACCCAGCTCTAGTTGTCTGCTTCATTTAGCCTTATGTGTCTGCTTATGCTGGTATTAGTTGATTTCAATGCTTAATTTGACCTTCTCTGATCAAGGTTTCTTTGCGCGCAGGACGTTAGAATTGACTGTTTTCAATGTAAAATCTGAACGTTGATTTCTCAGATTTGGATGTTTTCGATGTACTCAGCGTACTTAGCGTGAAATTTTGACAAAAAGGTCATGTATTGCAGTGCTTAATTTATTACTCTGTTTAATGGTCCAGTGTCCTACAAAGGGATATGCCCTTATGAGATTTTGCTGTGATTGGTTATAACCATCGTTGTACTTAGAAGCATGTCATTTTAAGGAAAAATATTACTTTTATTTGATTTATTTATTACTAAAATCGTGCCAGAATGAGCTTCTTCGGTCATTGTGAGAATATGTAGTTGTAAATCAAACTTAATACACAACGGATAATAAATAATTTGTGTAAGCTTCGTGTTGTTTCTTATCGGTATCGGCAGTAAATGGACACAAAAATTAGTCAAGTGCTTCTAACCTAGGATCATGCTTTGATGACTTCACCTCGAAGATTTCCTAAGAAATAACGAAATTTATGCAAACCCCCAGTGTCTATGCTCAAAATTTAGAAAAATATCACCCGTTTAAACTGTTATTAATCCAGTACTATAAACGCCATTTCTTGAAGGTTTTTGCAACAACAGGAAGAAAAGAAAAAATTTTTAATCACGATGCTTTTTGCAGGACATCTTGGGCAGCAAAATACTCTATCTAGACGGGGCTCCATCAGTAGCATAAAACCGCCGCCTCCAATCCGCAGAACACCATCAATCAACCGTGTTCAAGGATGTGGTGGCTTGGATCAGTTTCCACCACCACCAGCATACCTCTTAGAATCCAAGTCCATCAGTTCATCCATCCAAAGCATGACGTCATCCATCGTGGCCGAACTCCAGCAACGCCAGCGATCGCCTAGCATGGACCGTCGCAAATCATGTCTCACAAATGTATACCCATGCGGCACCAAAAATGATCCGTCTTGTTGCAAAAATAATAGGGAGAATATGTATTCAAAGAATGAGCGGAGCTCTTTTCAGTCTAAGGCTGCAATAGAAATTGAAACTAAGCAGATGAGTGTGGCTGATACTGTGCGAGCATTAACCGAGTTGAAACACCAGCCTGCTAGTCCTGTATCTGTTCGTAGATCCAGCAGCATCAGGTAAAAATAAATTAAATGCAGTTTTACAATTTTATAGCTCATTGCCAGTGTATTTTTATGCACCATTTTCATCATGTCAGGCCAGAAAGAAAATGAGCTCTAACTTTACGGTATTAGAAAAGTGCTCAGCGGTCAGCAGGGTTTAAAAATTGTCAAGGGTAACTTTACTTTAATGTATCAGATGTATAACCTTAGATACTCAGGGTGGCCCAGACCTACTGTACCAGGCCACCAAAATCGAACGTAGAGTCGCTTACTGCGAATGGATGAGGGACTGTCGGGACTCTGAACTTCCTCACTATAGTTTTGTGGAGTGATAAAGCAACCTTCAAAAATAACAACACCATCAGTATCCACCGCAAAAACCACTTGCCTGCTGAAAACTCCCACTGATTAGTCGGGATGGAGGATCAGGTAATCTGGGGTGTGAATTTGTGGGTGGGTATTTTAGTTCACTATCTTATCAACCTCCGTTTTTGTTAAGAAAACCTAAACGGGGAAATATTTGCTAATTTCCTGAACGAAACACTCCCTGATTTGATGGTGGGAGGAGGAGTTCCTGATAACCTGACGACGTCAAGTCTTTCTTACCAATTTACCCCGAATTCACAATTTTTACAAGTGTTTTTCAATGATTTTGAAGAAAACTGGCGTTTTCCACGAGGTCCGAAAACTGGCGTTTTCCGCGAGGTTCGAAAACGTGGCCTACGCTTTCTCTCCGCGTGGCCCTTGGGAACTGTTGCAGGACTCTAAAACCTAGAAATTTGTGTTTATCCTGGGAAGATACCCTGAGATTCAATATTTCCGGACGTTTTCCCACAATTTTGAAGAACACTAGGATTTGATGCGAAGGGGACAGAAATTTTTTTTTGAGGAATGCTTTGGCACACTTTAGTTTGATGCCTAGGCGCAACTTTTTCCCCCTATACATTTTTGAAATTCGAAAGTCGATGTTATTTGACTCGCCGTACTGCGCCCCCTCCCCACATGGCCCTAAGGAGCTTTTGTAGGACTGTAATATGTTGAAAGAACCCCGCACAGAGCATGGGGGTCAGTGGCTCTCTCTAGAAGTGGATGAAACTTTAATAGATTGATATAAAGTTCATAATTAAGGGGAAGCCAAAAAATTAGCTCATTTTTGCGAGTAGAAGCCGAGATATTCGCAATTGAATCCGGACTATTTTCTATCATGTCACAGCATGGTGGAAGAATTCCGAATCCCCTCTCCTCTCGTTGTTCGGCGTTCTCAATCAGACCTCATGCATAGATAGGTGCTTATGCGCTCGGCCGGTGCGAATGCCGTACTCCCTCCCTCTCCCTGCATCTGTCAATTCTGTTTCAGCAACTACATTTCAGATTCAACCGGCCGGCGACGAACGCACGGGGATTCAAAGAGAGTATACGTGAGAGGTGCAAGAAGCAGAGAATTTAGTATCTCACAGCCTGAACGGAGCGTCCTAATGAGAGGAGTGAGTGTAAACAATGCGACCTCGGAGTTACCTGGTCGGGAGAGGGGGTTTCCTGGCCGAAGTGCTTAAGGAAGGTACGGCGACGCGGAGTGCCGATTTACCTCCGCCGCACAGAAAATAGTCCGGGTTCAATCGCAAATATCTCGGCTTCTACTCGCAAAAGTGAGCTAATTTTTTGGCTCTCTCTTGATCGAGATGTTGCATGTGTGAGGAATTTGCGATTTGACTATTGCTTCTTATGTAAAAGTTCGCAAGAAACACGGTGGTGCCACTGATTTTCTCTGAAATCAACTCCCAAGCTCTAAAAAAGCTGTCAAGTTTAAGCCAAAGTGGAGGGGATATCCCACGCTATCCTGAGAGTCCACCTCTACATCAAAACGAACTCTCCATGCATAGATAGGGAGCGAGTACATTAGCAGGGTTGCCGTGTTTTCAATTTTTGACTCCCCAAATAAAGTGGCAACCCTATCAATGCATTTGCTCCCTATCTTTGCATGGAGCGTTTGTCTTGATGTAGACGTGGACTCTCAGGATAGCGTGGGATATCCCCTCCATTTTGGCCTCAACTTGAGAGCTTTTTTTGAGCTTGGAAGTTGATTTCACAGAAAACCAGTGGCACCATCGTGTTTTTCGTGAACTTTTACCTAAGAATCAACAGTCAAATCGCAAATTCCTCTCACATGCAACATCTCCATTATGAACTTTATATCAATCTATTATAGATTCATTGACTTCTAGAGAGAGCCACTGACCCCCATGCTCTGTGCGGGGTTCTTTGTGTTTTTCATGGAAAGCTACCTTGGGTTCCCGAGTAAGCCAACTTATGATTTGAGAATCCCCAAATGATTTTCCAGAAATGTTGCGAAGCCTAACGAAGTCGTCATAGACCTTGTGATTCACTCAATTTGCACAGTCATTGCGTCATATTTTCTACGAAAGACAGAAGTATCCTAAATTCATTTTAATGAAGGAGAAAAACCTATGTATCAAAAGAGAAAGCTAATGTCTAAGAGAACGGAAGTGTCAGTCTCAAGTTCATAATGATGAAAGTATCTTCTTTTCTTTTCAGGTCAGTAAGTGCCGATCGGCATCCGTCCAATAGTTATATCTCTCCCCGAAAACTTGATCCTCGCTTATGTCATGACTCCCTCATGGAGCAGATCAAAAAGGGCACTCTCCTGCGCAAAACACGCACTGTTAATGATAGATCTGCACCACACATACATTGATTCTCAGGGGCATACCAAGGAGAAGAAGTCAATTCTTCCTTGCATATACTTTCAGCTCCAAAAAGTTTTATTTAAGGTGTTTAGATTAAATTAATTTTACTTTTGTCAAAGATGCATAATATTTACTGTACAAACTTTGTAAACGCATAATCTAATGATAAACATTTTCATGCATATCATTACCAATGAACTGAGATGTAGGCAGCTTAAACATTGTTTTTTTCGGTAGGTTCATTTAGAGGTTTTAGTCGTATCCATATTTACGACCAATGAACTTTCAGCTCCCTTTGTGTTGGAATCGCATATCAACTTGCTCATTTTGGACAATTGATGATTTTCTGCCTGTTTATTTCTCAGAACCGGTGTGGTGTATAATGGGTCCGTTGGAGGCAAGAGATACAGCCAAATAAATTTACTCTCTACAGGTAAAATTGCACGAAAATCATGTTGAGCACGTCAAAACAGTCAAAAATCTATTCCTTAGTATGCAATCTGTGTAGTATGAAATATGCTTTTTCAAGTTGCCCGCGTCTGCGGGCAGTTTTTCTCAGTCACAGCCAACCAGGTTTGCACCCTCTGGAGTTGGAAAAACTAATCTGAGTAAACATACAATTTCATCAACTTTTTCTATTGTATGATTTCAATCGTTTCTAAGCGTTTGTTTTCTTTTTCTTTCTTTATTTTGCAAGAACAATAGCTTTGAATCAATTGAAATCATACACAAGAAGAGTCTGTAACTGTGCACAAGATTGATTGTTTATTTAGGTTAGGTCTGTCTCGGAGCAAACCTGACCGCTGGCCACTAAAAAATACTGCCCTTATATGCAGTAAATTTGAAAAATCTTGTTAAAAACTCTGTAGATTGTGCACTAAGGAGTGGATTCCAGATTTTTTCAAGTGCTTAATGTAATCTTCGAGCAAATTTGGGTTTGGAAAGCTTATTTAGTTGGCTGTATCTCTTGCGTGCAACAGACTTAGCCTGTGTAATGAAAGTACAGAAACCAAGAGTGATCATTAATTTTACCGTACTATTTGAGAATGTTCTTAAAAACAGTTGTTGTTTCTTATTTTATGTCACTTATTTGAGAGAAAATTCCTCTTGGGAAGTGAAAAATAAAAAGGCGCCTCAAAATAAGGAATTCCAAATGTTTAAACTTTTCCCACTAATCTACTCTCCCTAATTTATTCTTGAGTGCCTTTGTATCAAATATTAATATAGTATTTTCTCCTGAATTTAATCATCTGGAAACATGCGTATTTCCTACAATTTCTCCTCCATATCTTGGAATTGAAGGGTGCCTACACAATCAAAAGCTCAGGAAAAAGGGCAGAATTTCCACAACAGGTCCAAAAGTATAGAAATATCCCTCAAAGTTGACTCCGTGTCCTACAGCTCCAGGAAAATTAAAAATATTTGCGTTCTCATATCATTTCTCAACTCAGAATTCAATCTCCACAGCATGGCAAATTGACTAGTTTTTAAGTGAATTCCTGGGAGATAGCGCGCACATTTTTTTCAGTGCGTGAGACTCTTCAAATCCACATCTCAAAAAGGTGCTAATTTGTTTGAGAAGTGGCAAGTACGTCTTTTACCCATTTGCTGCAAGGGGATCCTCCTCAAATCAATTGATCATTTTTGAGTTGAATTTTCTTTTTCTTTTTTTTCTTTCTTTTTTTTTTTGTCTTTTCTCGGATACTTTTTCATTTTTTACTAATTTTGCCAATGGCACCTTAATCTTTTATTCCATAGAATTAAGAGCACACTGATGAATCAGATACAAGTATTTTCTGCTGGAAAGTCTACTATCTTGAATTTTGATTGGACGAAAGCACATGCCAAGTAAAACCATGTGGTTCAAATTTTTCGAGGAATTTTTATTTTTTACAGAATTAGGTTGTCGTGTCTCAGGCTCCGGGCTATCAAAAATAACCCTCCAGCAATGCAAGGGAGGAAAAACCTGGGCACGCAAAGAAATAATACTAAGAAAACTTGTAAGAGGCAAAAACATAGCTGTAGCAAACTCTTGCTGTTTGCGTCTTCCCAATGCGACCTGCAGCCGAGGTGGCCAGGCAGGGATCCCTTCCCAGCTCGTCCCATCATATGTGCTCCTGCTCATACTCAAACGCTTTCCCCCGCGCAAAAGCGATCCTGAGGACCAGCATTTCGCGCAGGCAACGCTGGATGAGAGGAAAACACAAGAGAGGGAAGGCCTAGAAAAGATATGCCCAACTTGTCCCAGCACGCAATTCTCGGAAGCAAGGAAATAGCATCCCCTGAGAGAATGGGCCTGTTGCATGCAAGAGATACAGCCGCGCGAATAGACTTTTTAGAGGTTAAATGACACGAAAATTACGATGGTCCCATTAAAAAAGTCTGAAATACACTCCTTACTGCGCAATTTGCGTTGTTAGGAACGCGCTTTTTCAAATTTCCCGCGTCTGGGGGCAGTTTTCTAATCACCGGAAACGAGCAAACGGCGGGCTCGGTGATTTCCGGAAGATGCCGAATCATTGTTGTTGTTGTTATTTTTTCCTTCAGTTTGTTTACAAACCCAACGTGATCTCCTATAGTGGTCCATATACGCTTTATGCGGTAACCAAATCGATCAACTTTTAAATATCCAACGCAATCCTTCTACGTTTCATTTCACGATGTCACGAACTCCGATTGTTATTTTATGTTGTCAGTTTTAGTTGACCGGAAATAGCCGCGAGTTGCCGTTAATTATTTCCGTTAGGAAACTGCCCCCAGACGCGGGAAATTTGAAAAAGCACGTTCCTAACAACACAAATGAGCCTCTAGACAGGGTAAGAACTGGAGGCTCTAAGCACATGAATCTGCATCAGAATTTCGCGTAGAATTCAATGGTACAAACGGGAATTCATGAAACCAACTAATAAGCGAGATATTTGCGTAAATAGACTGCGCATTTTTGTAAATCCCGCTCGCCTAATATACGAATGACGTCACATTTGTAGCCAATAGGATTGTCGCAGCGCTGCGCAGCGCCGACTGAGCATCGGCCATCGAAAACGTCCAACGCTCCCAACGCCGGGATCGTAAACAAACGAAAATTGATAACAGGAAGGACCCAAGCACCCAAGCAACTCGAAATCTTTTAATTTTCATTAATTACAGTCCATGTTCGACTTCAAGAAAGCATTTGACAACCATTTTCCTCGTATTTTATAACCTGGAGCCACAGCCTATCGGCTCATTGTAATGTGCACTCTGAGAATCAGTTCCACAAGTCCAAACCCTGACATTCTTTTCTTTGACCATTCTCTTTTCATTCTCGCCACAATTTAAGTGTTATGCAGTTTCTTTATCTAAAATATGTGGTCTTGAATTCATTCAGGAGTCAGAAGTTTACCTTTCTTTTAGTATTACAGCCCTTTGACCCCTCAAACTTCACCGATATGACCTCATGTAGTTCAAGGTTTCTCTGGCCCGAACCGAGTGATTACACATCTGAGGTGTGTCTCATGGTTCTTCAAATTAGCAGTTTAGAACTAAATTAGGGACTACAGTGACTCAATCCAGTTCTGCTTTCTTGTTCAATGTTTGTTATCAGTGTCTGTTCTTTTACGTGACCAATCTAGTGCATGCACTGTTACGCTATAAGTACAGGTATTATTGCTTTTTTCCTGCTGTCAGACCTTTTTCTTAAGCCTGCTGATTCACCACAGAATCTGCCCTAGTTGTGTAAATAATTTGGTGTGTAGTTATTGAGTTAATACCTCCTTGCGGTGATGCAAACTTTCTCAGATCCGTCATAAGTGGGTATTGCATTTAGACGATCACTCGGACCAGATGAAATCACTGCTCTAGCAGCTTCAAATTTATACTTTGATCTCTGATTCACTAATAAATAACACTTTATGGTGTCATTTATATTTAATCAGTTCAAAGCTAATTCGACAATGAATCATCAATGGTCCGATCGAAAAAGGAATTTTCTGGTGCGTGCTATGGCTGAATCGACACTACATTCAATTTTCGAAAGCTTCAATCAGGACATGACCATCCGTCTTGAAGTGAAAATATTTTTCAACCATTCAAGTAGTTCAAAAGGTAAGATATCTGAAGTTACTAAGGTATCACCAGGGTACATACGGATCTGTTGTTGGACAGTTAGTGTGAGTATGCTTACGTTTGTGGATAATCATTCATGGCAAAAAGAGGATGTTAATGACAAGGCTAAACTGGGAAACCACTTACCTAAATTCACAAAGTTTCAGACTTCCTGTTCCTCTTAATTTCTCAATTAAAAAATCATTCAACAAAATCTCTGAAATGTGATATTTTTCCTCTACATGGGCAGAAAATTCAGTAATTAATTCAAACAATATGCTGACTTGCTTCCCTTTGAAAATCTGAACTGGATGTAGAAAGTTTGAGCAACGTATTCAGGATATGTAATTTACACGTTTTGCAAATGATACCTATGTTTGGCCATTAGATTGGTTTGAGAAGTAAATGTTACAAATGTCATCCCTGGTCAATCTGAACTGTTTTTCCCAACTTGTTTTCATGGTGGGATGTAATTCTATGACTTTTCAAGATCCTTTCATCTTTCGGTACCTGAAAAATTCAGTGAACCAAACGACTTTCAATAGGAATCGTTGGCAACTTTACCATTGAAATGATTCTTAGGTGATTTTGAATGGAACAATCTTACACAAACTTTTGTTGAGCAGGTTTTACTCGCCCTGAATTCTTAAAAGAGAGGAAAAATATTTTCTTAACGCTTGGAGGATGATCTAACTATGTTGCAGGTAAGTAGGTGTGATCACTTCATTTCATGAAATTCAGTAAGGCTCGTCGCTGCATGAAACACATAAAACATACTGATTAAGAAATGAATCCTCAAATAATTAGCAACTGTTTTGTGCAATATCTGTTGATTAGCATTTGATGATAACTAGAATACAAAAATTCTGAAATTAAGAAACCAGGAATAAATAACTACCAGAATGGTCTTATCAGATTTTCTCTGAGACAAATTTCCATATTCATTGATGAAGTGTAGCGTGCATTTGAATTCACAATGTTTGGAATTTCCAATAGCATTTAAGGCCTGAGGCACAATTCCTTATCTTTTAAAGCAGGGAAGACACCTTGGACCCTCCATCATTCGTAACTCACAGCTTTCAGATTGGTTCAGTCATGTCTTCGAGCAGAAAAGCCCTTTAAATGACCAATTTCCACAATTTTATAACTTCACCCACTTGAGATGTTGTATTCCTCTTTAGATATATGGCAGGAGAGTATATTCTGAAATTTACAGGACACACATCTCTTCAGAAATAGGAGAGTGCTAACATAATTATTACTTACCAAGTACCAGTTCCTGATGAATTTTTTTAAGGTTCATGCTTTCGAAAGTTGAGTTGTAGGTAATGTCGATTCAGCCGTAGCACGCACCAGAAAATTCCTTTTTCGATCGGACCATTGATGATTCATTGTCGAATTAGCTTTGAACTGATTAAATATAAATGACACCATAAAGTGTTATTTATTAGTGAATCAGAGATCAAAGTATAAATTTGAAGCTGCTAGAGCAGTGATTTCATCTGGTCCGAGTGATCGTCTAAATGCAATACCCACTTATGACGGATCTGAGAAAGTTTGCATCACCGCAAGGAGGTATTAACTCAATAACTACACACCAAATTATTTACACAACTAGGGCAGATTCTGTGGTGAATCAGCAGGCTTAAGAAAAAGGTCTGACAGCAGGAAAAAAGCAATAATACCTGTACTTATAGCGTAACAGTGCATGCACTAGATTGGTCACGAAAAAGAACAGACACTGATAACAAACATTGAACAAGAAAGCAGAACTGGATTGAGTCACTGTAGTCCCTAATTTAGTTCTAAACTGCTAATTTGAAGAACCATGAGACACACCTCAGATGTGTAATCACTCGGTTCGGGCCAGAGAAACCTTGAACTACATGAGGTCATATCGGTGAAGTTTGAGGGGTCAAAGGGCTGTAATACTAAAAGAAAGGTAAACTTCTGACTCCTGAATGAATTCAAGACCACATATTTTAGATAAAGAAACTGCATAACACTTAAATTGTGGCGAGAATGAAAAGAGAATGGTCAAAGAAAAGAATGTCAGGGTTTGGACTTGTGGAACTGATTCTCAGAGTGCACATTACAATGAGCCGATAGGCTGTGGCTCCAGGTTATAAAATACGAGGAAAATGGTTGTCAAATGCTTTCTTGAAGTCGAACATGGACTGTAATTAATGAAAATTAAAAGATTTCGAGTTGCTTGGGTGCTTGGGTCCTTCCTGTTATCAATTTTCGTTTGTTTACGATCCCGGCGTTGGGAGCGTTGGACGTTTTCGATGGCCGATGCTCAGTCGGCGCTGCGCAGCGCTGCGACAATCCTATTGGCTACAAATGTGACGTCATTCGTATATTAGGCGAGCGGGATTTACAAAAATG